GGGACAAAATACCGGTCGATAGTATTATGGAAGTCCAAAAGCACAACCTGGGTCACGGGATTCCTGATACTGTCGCGAAGCTTGACACGCCGATTTGTAATCGGAGAGTCGGAGAGATAAGCAAAAATCCGTGGCCCAAAATATTCGAATTAATAAAGCCTTCTGCCGACGATGCCGATGAAGAAGCTTTCTCCACAGGAGCTGACGATACCGATGACGAAGCTTTCTCCACTGAAGCCGCAATCTCGATCCGAGCAGGAGGAGGATATGAAGGCTCCTTGGGAACCAAACGCACCGGTGCCTTGGGTTTCTCCACAACAGGCTTAGATGCAATCTTAGCAGTCGGGCGGAGCTTCGGCGCCGGTGGCGGCGGAGGTGGCTGCTTGGCCGTTCCAAATAGGCGTCCGTAGCCAGGAACAACGCAGCAGCAGGTGGGATCAAAGGCGATTTCGCCAAAGGAGACGACCGAGGTGGCGTCTTGGGCTGAGGCACCGAAGAAGACGCACCAGCAGGTTCCTCGGTCTCCACTATGACACAATCATCGTCGTCCAAATTATCTGGCGTCCAACCAGGCCTTGAATAAAGTGGACGTGACGATTTGTCGCTGCGGAGCAAATAGATTTGGTCCTCACTCAAGTCTGGTTCCACCTGCAATCTGTACCTAATATAGGCCTTCCTTTTATGCTGAGCAGCGCGACCAGCACGTATGCCCCGAGACCTTGCAACAGGAGGATTCGACTCTTCATTCGGCCCCTGCTGCGAAGGTTCTGGAGGCACGTCCGACATGCAACGCGCAAATCAAACCCAGTAAAAGACCCAGAAGAACAAGAGCTTACGGCTGATAACCAGTTATCCAGACCCAAACCGAGGAACCAACCAAGGAAGTATGGAAGATCACGAAAAGGGGACCGGGAAACCAAAACAGGAACCCGACCCTCAACGAAAAGAGCGGAAGTTGCACGCTCCTTTTCATGCTTTGAGCCAAATGGTTTCAGTACATGGCAAAGCTGCATAGTCAGATCACAATTTTATATATAGAGGGACCGTAATTCTTCAACTATATTGATTAGAATTTTGAATAGAGAGATTTTTATCAGATTTCTAAAAATATTTTTATAAGTCTAAACTTGAAATTCAAATTATTATTAAGATCATTCATAAATTAATAATGAATATTTTCGATATCAAGATATTTAAAAATATATCTCTTATAATTTATTATCATAAATTTTCAATTATAAAATCTATTTAATATTCTATTTTATGATTAAGATTTATTAATATTCAAAAATTGAGAAATCAAATCTAGAAGGCCTAAAAAATATTTTATTTAGAATCAATATTTTTAAATTCGATAATTTTTCAATATGATTATTAATATGAATATTTTCGATTTATTCTAGGAACCAAAAGAGATCTTAACAATAATAATGAGAATCTATTATAATCAAATTTTTATTCCAGATATCTACTTCCAATAAATAAAGAATCTATATAATTCAAATATAATAATTAAATGATCGGATCCTTATCTCTATCCTAGACCCGAAGATTCTTCAGATAAGATTTTATTCATTTTTTATTTTTATTTATCGATTTTGCCTTTGCCTATATTTTATCGAATAAATTATATAGAAATTCAAATTTTTTTGATATATATATATATTTATATATATAATTTTTATCTATTAATCTCAAGAATCTTTCTTAGAATTCTAAAGATCGATAATTATATTTATAATATAAAGATTATCGACTATAAGACTAATGCTATCATATAAAATCTATATTAACTTAGAATCTAAATAGAAATTATTTATATATATATATATGATGATTTTTATGAGTTTTTTCGATATTATATAATTATCATAATCTTGGAAATTTAATATCGCCATTTTGCACCACCATTAGAAATAACGACTCCCCTCTACTAAAGATTAACAACGAAATTTAAGAATTCCAACTCAGTCTGCAAGGTTTATTTATATTATCGATATATGAATATGAATTAATAAGATTCTCTGATTATAAAAATATTTTTTTTTCATATCTTTAATTTCATCAAAATTTTTTCATAGATATACAAAACGAATATCTATATAGAAAGATTACGAGAGAGAGAGATATATATATATGAAAATCATAATATAAATATTCATAGAATATATTAAGTTCTTAAAAGAATAAATAATTTCTATGATTTCATAATATAGGCACGAATTAGTAAAATAATCTATACGCGAAAATTTAAGCGGTAAATAAAATAGAAATATCAATCTTAATATATTTGGTTTCCTAAGCAAATTGCTCTATAAAGAAAATTTTGAAAATTTAAATAGAAAATTAATAATAATAATAAGATCTTAATATTTACTATATCATCATATAACCCCCTAGACTCAGATACCTTCAATTCTATTTCAATCAAATAATCAATTATATAAAAATTATCATCTTTACAGATTCGAATATCATATATCCAGAGAAATAGAAAGAAATAAAATTCAAATAATCAGACATAAATTTGCATAATATCTATTAGAAAAATCAACAAATCAATATAATGCGAAATAATCAAAGAGATAGATGAAGAAATGCCCAGAGAGAGACCTAAAGAGAACGCGCAAAGAGATATATTAATAGATAGACACCCACTTATATACAATCAGAGACACAAAAATACTCGGAGACGCACACACGCGCAGAGTCACACGCACACACAGACACGCACAGACACACACAGAGAGACACAGACACATCAGAAATCACGGCACTAGAGCACGCGGTACTAAAATTTCAGAAACTTTATGACCGCGAGCATGCCAGCAAACACTTTCGGATACCTCTAAAGCTACCTAAATATCTGAATTTGAATTCCGCGAGAGTTCCTAAAGCTACCAAAATTCCTGAATTCTTTATATCGAAAAAGAAGAGCTCGCGGTACTAACATTTCCGAAATTTTAGTACCGCGAGACAGGTACGCAAGAGGCTTTCAAGAGGAAACACGTCGAAGGGCGAGGTTGCAGGGGGTCAGGGGTGCGCACGGCATCACGGGAGCAAGCAACACGACACCGTTGTATTAATGCATAACAACTATTATGAACTAAAAGCTTTGGACCTTTAGTTTATTACCATTTTCGAGGTATCTCCACCAATTCTATCTACAAGTCGTCTCAATAGTAATCTTTTCTTCTAGTTTTATCAAGTAATCTCAATATTTATGAAAGTAAATGTTAGTTTCAAGAAAATTAAAATAGTTGGATGTATATTTCTGCTACCAAGGAATTTGTTTCGGCCATGATTACACCTACCTATTTCAATAAAGAACCCTCAACTATTTTCGATCTCATGATGGATAACCACATGCTTTTCATATCATCTTAAGTAAATGAACCTGCAAAATTGGCCATCAAACATGATAAGCAGAAGTGCTTAAAGCGTATCTGTTGGCGAACCCTGTTCACATATATTAATTCTAATAGTCTTGTCATCTGTCTAGATATTAATTTCACTAGAAGAAAGACGAAGAACATATAATGAACTTTCGATGTTATATCTACATTAGAATCTGTATGACATATCATATAACAAGGACGGGATATTACCGGGATATTGAAATCCTCATATTCTCATGAAGACGGCCCTCCGGGAAGTGTACTTATTCAAGCTGGCTTCTCTTCAACCTGTGCTATCCTTGCCAGAGCTCGGTCACCTGTCAAAGGCAAAGACACATGTCAGACCAGCAGGTTTGGAAACGAATTCGTCCCACCTCTCTTGGCCATGGCAAGAAGGAAGTCGTCAGACGAGGACTCTGAGCCTGCTTATGCCATTGCACATCCACGCACCGAAGAAACCATTGTACATGGACTACTGTGTTCCATGGAGAAGCCAGGCTCAGTCCGAGCCCTGAGGTTTGCACTTTCGGAGGACGACTCTTTCTCTGCAGCTTTCCTTGGCTAAGCTTCAAGGCATGCTTTAAGGAAGCAGTGCAGCAGAAGAGCGCTGCAGACTGGGCAGAGAAGAATGTAGCAATCGCGCCTGAATGGACTTGCCGGTGCCGTGTCACAAACCGTCACACATGAGTCAATGCTCGACGGGGGCTCTATGCTACCACGGGGCTTCTCCTTGGTCCTTTTCTTGGCAGCGCTGCCGGTCTTGGTCTTGTCCTTCAGCTGCGTATCTCATTGCGTTACAGGAGCACGCTCGTGGCAAAAAATAGCAAACATCCTGAGACTTCTGGCATAAATAAGTCATCAGGTCCGACTACCGAAAGTCAATCCACACATATTAAGTCCTTTGCAGGCTTTGCTTTCTTCTTCTGCTCCGGCTGCTCCTCCACATGATGCACAGGTTGGAGCATCAACTGTACAGCACAAAATCGCTGTCGGCTGGCAGGGCTTGAATGCGGGGGGCTGACTAAGCCCTGCCGGATGTCCGCTCGGTGTGTTTTTCGAAGTTGTGCGTTTTCTTTATTCGGTCTTCGAGAGCAACTCTTGCATATCTAGGCCCCTTAAGTCAAGAAGCCGTAGCGCAATTAAGCCTGTAGGATGTTCAAGTCAAACCGATGCCAACGAATGCAGCTGACTTTTCGCCCGCCCATGAAACTATTCGGTGCCGACGCTTGATAAGTAGTACTCTTCAGGGCTTTCGGCACGATAAATGCTGCGCGATGTGAAAAAGGTCACACGCAGGCTTCACCTGCACGTAACCACTCGATAGCTGCTGCTGTAAACAATTTTTTCTCAAGTCAAGAAGCCGTAGCGGTCGTAGCGATTCAAAGATCACGCTCCTTGTCGGTCGGAGCCGGCTCCGTGGGCTCCGGCAGCCCGGAGGAGGCGAGCACCTGCGACACGGAGGACGCCCTGCCTGAAGCGCAACGAGACGCTGAGCACTTGAAGCGCTCTTTGCAGGCCTCGGTCTGACAACCCAGCATGGCACCCACTGCAGCGGCAGCTGCGGCAGCTCCAGAAGAAGCTGTACTCAGCTCCTGCCGAGTGAGGGTCGAATGTGCGGCATCTGCATGACAGGGTCAGGCAAGGTTACTCTCATTCTCCCAGCAGAATACACAAATCTGCAGGCGGCAGCCTGCTCGGACTGACCTGCGAGATGTAGGAAAAACCGCAGGAAGGTCCCTCGGTGACAGAAGGCTGGCTGGTCCCCCAAGTCGAGATTTTTCTGCAGTGTCGAGATGGGCATCGCCCGCTGCACTAGGGTGACGACCATCCAGCGATGCACCGACGCCGAGGGCTCTCGTACCAGCCGGTAGCCGTGCCGCCAACCTTCCATGACACCAGAATGAATAGTGAGACGTTGTCCTCTTTAAGGCCAGGGTTCGAAGATATTGGAATGAGAAGGAACGGGACGATGGATTTCCGGTCCTTCTTTGCCACTCTTCGCCTATGCCGAGACACGCCTATATTGAGCGGCAACCTGACAATTCGCGGGGGGTCCAGCCAAGGGTTCCAGAAAGCCAACTCTGCTAGATTAGAGCCAGTATTCTCCCGCAGTCAATCGTAGGAAGGTTCTCTGACGACAAGCGAAGATACATCACGGGACAGACATGCAAAATGTTGTATGTTCGCTCCGCCTGCATGTCGATGGTTCACGCACTACAGGAGAGCACCGTCCCATTTGTTTCATTTCGTTTCTGGTCAAAGGGTAGTCTGTTTTGCAGCAAGAGGCTTGCATCAAGAGACTTTCGGAACAACTAACACAGCGCCGCCCAGCTATCTAGAATCAGACTGTCTCGAGGCCGTCGCAAAGGCAGCACCATGCGCTCCAGAGATGCCAGCCTCGGGCCAGTCTGCTCACAGTCAGTCACAGATCAGCGCGCTGTCACGGCCATATCTACCCTACCTAGGACACAGGATGCTGGTGACTCGTCATGAGTCTTGGACGTGTGAAAACATTAAAGCAGAGCCGCTGAACCTATTTCATGTGGGTGGTGAGTGAGGATTAACAGCAGTACGCAACATCAACAGGAGGAGATGCGTACACAGAGATGGCAGCTGTTGGATGGCGATCGCAGCAGTGCCTTCAAGAATGAGGTGCGCAAAGCTTGGAACAGCACCACTGCTTCGGCTTCCATCTGCAAGCACGCCCGCCAGCTCGGTTCATCAAAAAGTAGGCACTGGTGTAGGACCGAAGGCAGGATCGCACGATGCACCGCAGGAGCCGTGGGCTCGTGACGGAAATTTCGCTAGCTTCGACAGCGAAGCCCCTAAAGTTGGTGCTTGAGCCTTCCTTGGTCGTGGTTGACATCACTCAACGCTCCGGTATGAGGCCGTAGCAACGATCAGAAGTCCAATCCTTCAAATCTTGTCCCGACTACCAGTCCGTTGCCCCTCGCTTTAGGCCGGGTAGCCCCTCGCGTCGCTTCGCCTCCGTGGCCCCGCTCCTTTGGAAGGCCAAGCCAAGAGTACCTGACACGCTAGGTCGTAGCGCTCTCTTCCACTCCTACACATGCACCATCATGCACCTACTCAATGCACTTTTATTTGTCAGCAGAATGTCATGCTAGTGTCACAAATGCAATGCAAGATTCACTGAGACTTTGTCAGAAAGGAACCTTGACTTCTGAGGTGTTTCTTGATCGGTCTACATATCCACTGTTTCGTGATGTGCGTCTCGTGGATGACGACGCATGGTTGAGAGAGAGAGAGGAAGGCTTGTTACTCTCATCCCAGCTGGCACAGGCCCGTCTGAGGTTCTTGCCAGTAGACTCTGGACCATCTTTCTTTGCCGCAACCAGTGCTGCTACTTTGGCACCTCTCAACAGGCAGCTTTCAGGCGACTGCCTGTGCAGGCTTGGAAGCCTGCCTTTGTCCCCGTGCAGCACCTTTTTCACGACACCCAGATCCTGCGGTGGCTGGATGTGGTACGGCCAACAGCTTTCCATCGCTTGGCCAGGCCTGTCCTGCAGTCCTGGGCGGCAGCCTTCAACAATCAAGGTATCACCCTTCGCCTGGGGAGTGTTCGAAAGTCCCGACACAGCCATGCAGCAACGATTTTGCAGGGATGATTATTCAAGCCTCTTGCATGACGAGATGCAAAGCTCTTGTCCGACTTCCGATAGTCATGCCGGAATGGAGCGACATGACCAACCTGATGGAACTCTACAGGTAGACAGGGAGGCGCCAACACCAGGCCTTCTGCATGATTGTAGCTGTTCATGAAGCGACTTAGGCTGAGGCTGACTGAGGCGTGGTGCAAAGCTCAACCAAGTAGATGACACCTCGAAGCAACATTGTCCCGCCAAGGGCAACTCGCGTCTCCTGATTTCAGCTGAGCAGCTCTCTGCCCGTGGCCAGCGCGACAGTTGTGAGGCATCCACGAAGCCTTGGATGATGCTTGTCCGGACGTTGCCAGTCGTGTCGAGCATCCTATCTCGGCTTTACAAGCGAAGCCACGCAATGGTCTGGTCTCCTTAATCCAAACCCCAAAGCCCACAATCGTCCCAAGTCCAAGTAACGAGGGAAGAGTTCGGCTGGCGAGGCTAGGCGGAACGCCAAACGACGTCCTTGCGCTTCTGCCTCCGGCACTAACTGCGAGAGTATGTCCAGAGTTGAGGCACGGTTGTGATAGAAGTGCGCAGCGGGATTTGGGCCTGATTCGGATAATGTCTACAGCACCGCAGACCCTAAATGGCTTGTCTATTATCACAAGTGAATTATGATGCCGCCAGCAGCAAAGCAACCATGTGCCGCCCACAGTGCTAAACATGTGGAATCAACCAAGACCTCAGGCCCCAACTCAGCAAAGTGACTGCCACGTGTCAATCAAGACATTTTGAGAAACGAGCTATAAAGGGTCAAGTGGCATTAAAGACACTTACAGCGTGGCAGCCCCAGGATGGCAAAACTGAGCTCTGATGGGTCAACTCGCTCAGATACTTCCACCTTGACTTGGCAGCATTGGGCACGTGGAGACGCAGGCCTCCGAGATTACCCACGAAGCGCCTGCAGGCGGCGGTGGCCTTCCTGACATCGCGTCGACACTGGGCAAGGCTCCAGGGGCGCCTTGCAAGTCCTTTCCCATCCATCTGCTCGTCCCACGGCCGTGGAGCAGAAACCTTCGGTTCAATCAAGACTTCTGGCTCGCAGGTGCATAGGCTGTAGGAGGCAGACCTTGGCGCCAAGGGCCCCTTCAACGGCTGCGAGCCACAGGCGTGCTGTAGCCTCCACTGAGGTGGCAGCTGTCATTGCACTTGCAAAGAATTCTCGGACATGCAGCTTGGTTCGGCAACCAAGGCCTGCGGCACCTGCACGACTCCACCCGCCAACAGCTGAAAGTTGACGAAGCGCCGGCCAGCAGGGTTGACGACGGTGCGGGACCTTACCGTTTGTTGGCTCAGCACAGGGGGGGGGGGCTTCTGCAATGCCTTGATCTGCACAACAAGACCTTTCCACTGCAAAAGCCTCTGTCTGCCCAATTGCCCTATCGCCTTCCCTAGGTGTTACTTCATGCAAGTGTTCTCACAGGGCCCGAGTCGGCTAGAAGGTGCAGGGCAGGTGCATGGAGCGGTGTGGATGTGTTGTTGTCGCCATGAAAGCCGAAAGGTGGTCTGCAGCTTCGCATGCACCGCTCCACAATTTGTATCCAAGGCACACTTTACCCGCTCCAAAGCTTGTTAGCGCAAAGCGACCGATGGCGGCAGAAGGACCGGTCTCCTGGCAAGAACAAGACAGTTGTTGGGCAGTCTTCGTCTCATCACGTCCATACTGCGCTGTTGGCCCAGAAGCTTGTCTGCGACTCTTGCTGCTCGCTTGTTGTGCTCGGAGTGGTGGCCTAGCATGCTGGCGCTGTCCTCCTCCCAGTCGTAGTTGTCCAGGGCCTTGCTCTATCAAAGCAACATCGGCATCAGGCAGGATGTGGACGTTCAGCAATTCCTCGAAGTCAGCTGAGAAATGGACCGCTGCCTCCTGCTTCTCTTTCTCTTCCTGCCGGCAACGGCACCATTGCAGATAACGAAAACCGATGACGCAGAATTGCGAGCCACAAAGGGGTTGCTGGTACTACTGCCCTATGCCCTTCCAGCCCCTTCTCAAGCCCAGTCCTCCGCCGCACGTCGGGCAAAGGCTGCCGCAGCTTGGGCGGCCTCCTCGGCCTAAGCAAAGCCATTCGCCGAGGTTGTTCGCAACTGCCAGTCAAGGTCTGACTATCTGCGGCTGCAGTGCATACGCCCGTGACGTGGCTCCGAGCTACTTCTATCTTCTGCAGAAACATATTATTTTCCAAAAACCAGAATCTCCGCATTCAAACGAAGCCGATGAAAACAATAACGAAAGCAACCAAACAGCGACCAAAGTGTGACAAAGGTTGAAGCAAGCGAGAAGAGGAGCCCCAAACAGCAGAATAAAAAGGTCAGCAAAAAAACAAACCGATCAACATAGAGCGAGAGAAAAGCGAAACATAAGGGTCATAGACTTGTAAACAAGAAAACAAAAATCAGCATACGCCTTCCCAACACTCAAAACAAGTGGCTTTGCCTCATGCTGCAAGCAGTTTCTCGAACTCATGCCGCAACAAGCCAACTCTAGCTTCGCAGCTTCTGTACCTATCCGAGGACAATTAGCGGAATGCAAGTTGCCGGCAGTGATTGACGGGGCTGCTTACTCGGATGCGAAGTCTGTGAAATACTCGGGAAGAGTCTTACTAAGGCTTTGGCACCGCCGTTTAGATCCCCCTGTGTATGCTTTGTCCAAAGGCACGCGGGCTGCAGCAGCGTCCAGCTGCTTCTGCTTCTTCATCATGGCCTGGTACTCCTCAGCAACATTTGGAACTGTTTTGGGCCAGCCGGGTGATGACAGATTGAAGCCTGCGACCTGCAATGACCATCACGACTGCTCTGGAAGGCTTTCGATCCACTTCCGTGGCTTGGCATTTGTGCAGGTCTTCGTCACGCTTGCATCGTCAAATTCCTCTTTGGGACTTAGGCTGTGCCTACGGCCTACGGGTCTGAGATGGTCTGAGCCTTGATATCTTTACTAGCAGCTTACTACACCTCTGCATCCGATGCCTTTGACAAAACCAGTGCCTACCTGCCTCAGCTTCTCCGAGGAGGCACCTGCAGGCTGATGGCACGCTTCTTCTCGCGGAGGCGTTTCACGCGCGTGCCGCTGGATGTAGAGCCTTGGAGGCCGGAGGAAATGAAAACCCCCAAACACCAGGCTTTTTGGACGGAGATGAAGGCTCTATCCGCAAAGAACGTACGCAAACCCTGCAAACTGCAGGGCGGGCGACCTGTGCTTCAAACGGCCTGCTACGCATGTCCTATGACTGTGAGTCGGGGTTTCAGGTTACTTGCAGGGTTCTAGTCATCACTGTGAGTCACGGTTTCGTGTGTGCGTGTTCTAGTTCTAGTCATCATTGCATGTTCTAGTCATCACTGCTCTCCCTTTAGCCAAAGTACGCTGGGATTCGCAGGGTCATGTTTCTCACCCCGCCAAAAACTGCACTAGCCTGGCCAATATTTTCTCCCTCCAAACAAACGGATCCGAGGCACTGTCGCGGCTCTTGGGCCGTTCGCTTCGGCCCTCATCACGGTTTCCGCGCCGGCCCGCCGATTCGAGAGCCTCTCGGCCCACTTCTTAAGTCTGGGACATGATTAGGTGAGGACCGCCGGATCTACAAACTCAACAACTTCATTTTCGCGGTTCCAGGAGACACCAGTAGGTTTCACTACGACTTGCTTGGCACGAGGGAACTGGCCTTGCGGCTTGGCGACTGTTCCGGCTTGTATCCAAAGGTTTTGATCACCGTCGGCCTCCGCTGCCCTGTGTCGGCGACCTCGCAGTTCGTCTCCCTCGCTGGGAGCCTCCTGCGATTGAGCCCAGCTTCCACTCAATCTAGCAAAGTCTTGCAGAAGCTGGTGCCACTTTTCTCGAACGTGAGTGTGGTTGCGAACAACAAAACTGAAGTCTCTGTGAACTTGGAAGCCTTCAGATGACACTCCCTCAAGCTTTGAAGGAACGGCCAGTGTCCTCTGCCTCAGCCTCCCTCAGGCGTCTCCGCTCGGGCACACCTGGAGAATCCAGGTGGCTAGTGCATTCGCATTTTCAAGATGCTGGCATGCATGTCAGGAGTGCCCTTTCAACTCTGCAAATTCGCACTGAGACCAAAGCCCAATCTGCCAAGGAAGAATCGAAAAGCTGTTTGCATGTCTCCCGAAACATGAAAGCCCTCGCCTGATGCCGTAGGCTCGAACGAGCTCAGTGCGGGAATGAAGGAACTCAGCAGCTCCTTGGCCTTCCTCAGGGCAGGGGCTGCGCGCAGCTGAGTAGGCCGCCGAAAAACTGTCGCACATCCCCGGCGACTAATTCGTGGATCTGAATGCTGAATCTTGCTGCTTTATCGGTCCGGGGCTCTCCACTTTGTCCGGCGCACCAGAGACCAGGAGCCGCTGTTCCCCTTCATCTGCTGCTGGGAGGACCTGATGCGCTGCTTTGTGGTGGCACCAAATTGCAGCCTTTCTGCCTCGCATTTGTTTTGCTCTGCATGCGTTTCGCAAGCGCAGCAACCGCTTTCTCGCAGTTCGCATCGCCAACAAAACACGACGTCACCAAGCAAGCGGCTCGCAAGCGAGCGCCGCTGGACTCCTCCATTTTCTTGATGTTCTCTCCGCCCTCGGCACTCGATGGGAACTAAACCATCCGTTCGCGGACTTGTGCTCTTGTGCCTTGCCGATGAGTCGGCCGATCTTCCCCTGCGGGACCTCGAAGGATTCCTCGACATCCTCGATGCCTCTCCACAGCAAGAATCAGCCTGGGCCTAGGCCTAGCACTGAGACAACTCGCTGTGCACTGCGCGCGTCTTGAGGAGTGCAGGCTGCGCTTGTCCTGCCTCGAAGGAACCTCTCGTTAAACTTGCCGCGCATCCCGTGTGCAGGCCCACTAAACTCATCCAAGAAATCCAGGACAATCCTGGGTCCACATCTGCAGCATTGACTCTACTACGGGCCCATGGGCTTGTCAGCAACTCAAACTGGCGAAAGCTCGGCAGGTAGCCAAGTACGAGCATGTGATGAAGACTTCGAAACCTTGCGAGCTTGTGCCTCCAAGCATCTTCTTCGCTTGCCTGACTTCCTTCGCGTCGCCTCAGCAGGCAGGCTTCAGGATGATGGTGCAAATCTCAGAGTAGAAAGATAGGCTGGATGAGACGAGACACCGTTAATCCGAAGTCGCTGGTAAACCTTCTTCGGCGCCTCCTTGAAACGATTCGTCTTGGCCTTCACATCGGCGCTTGTGGCCATCCTGTACTTCAGATGGCCATGACGAGCGCGATAAATTCCGGGACCCTCTTGGGCACCTGAGAGACTCTTGGACATCTTGGAATATTGTCTGGATGACATCTACTTACGGAGGAGTCCTCAAGTCAAAGAAGGGCCTTGACGGACGTCGCTGAAACCTTTCTCCAGACTGTCCAATACCACTTTGGCATCGGTCGCCGAACTGAACACGCAAACCACGCTGGACTTGCTGATATGCTCCTCGGGGGGACTGGTGGCGACAGTGCTCAATCTCGAAGCAAGAATGAAACAAGTGCTGCATATAGCACGGAAGGGCGCATTGCTGACGAGCTTCCAGCGACTGCATCTGCGGCAGGCTCTTTGCCTCGAGCACCTTTCGGGGTCTACAGAGGCTCAAGTAACATCTCCTGCATCTGCCTCCCACACTTCTTCCGAAGTCAATCTTAACTCTGACAATGCCCCGGTTTGAGCTCCCCTAACTTCATGTTCTTCGAACGTCCGTGAAGCAGTGCCAGGCCGCAAAAGGAGACTAAGGGGCCTCGTCCAGGTGTATCCTGGTCAGGTTGGCAGCACCGGTGATGCAGACGGCCTCAGGCCTCCCAGGTCTGCAGGACGCTTCCAAAGCATACTTTCAAACAATTAGCCAAGTCTTCCCCTATCTTGGCCCGGACCTGGGTGCGGAAGGCTTTGCCGCAGCCTTGCTGTTTTTGCCTTCCTGGCATTCAAACCAAATAAGCGCACACTTGTTGGACGTACTTCGGACAACGAGACCTTCAACTGGGTGCCTCGGCGGCTTCAGCAGGTTCTTCAGCCACAGCCTCCTCAGGCCCCGTGTCGTCCTTCCGCGAAGCCTGACCAGGGCGAAGACATTTTGTGGGTCCTTTCGGAGGTTTCGGACTTCCGTGGCTAAGTCCAGTCCAGGTGCAGCTTAGACTATCGTCGATTCATCTGCCACTGGGATACATGATCATAGACATCATGCAACTGCTTGGAACACACATCAACACGCAACTCTGCATGCCTGGCATGCCTTCTCGGGTGCGTAGGTGTCGGATGTGAGGATGTAGCGGACACGAATAGGGAAGTGGCGATGGCGCAGGCCTTTGGCGATCTCCACGGCATTCCCCTGCAACAGGGATATCCTGCATCGAGCTTCACCACCCCGACCAAGCTTCTTCGTTCGCGTCAGGAGCGATTTATGAATTAGATGATAGATGTCACAGAAGCCTGGCGCGCTTTCCCAAGCGAACATGCCGAAATCAAGTTGGGTTGTCACAACTCCTCCATCCAGATTTATGCTCTGCAGATACTGGACTTGGCTAGTGACCTTTACAGTTGCGATCTTCAGGACAGTATGCTTCCAGCGCAATGTGGCGATGAACCCAAGTCCGTGCCTCCTTGTCCATGATGGTGAGGTTTTCTGGGTACACCAAAGTGACGCCAGCCTCTCCCATCTTGCGGTACAGCATCCTGAGTGGGGGGATGCTGCCTCGGGCTTCCATTCACTGAGCACCCCGTGCGAAGCCGAATCGGAAGCCGCCGAGGTGCTCATCCCAGTTCTCGAGGCTGTATGCCACGAACTCCACGGCCGGCACAAAGTTTCTGACAAGCGTACGTATCCGCAATGCACTTGACATTACACGGACACTACTTGACTGCCGGTGCACAAGCATCGTAGCTACCGACAGTCTTGGTGTTGGTTCGTTCCGTGATACATGATTTCTTGACTACAAAACAACGAGATCACTCCTTCGGACCTAGAATGACTACACATTGCCTGCGCCCCTTTGGAGTCGGATCGGTTGAGCCGGTGCTGTCATTCTTGACCTCGACCGGAGAGCAAAGTGCTTGTATCGTGCATCTTCTGAGCCGTCACCAATCACTTGTTTCCGGTCGCTCTGTCAGCTGGCTGTAAGGGTGAGTGTGCAGGTGGCTGCTAGTATCTCACCCATATGCCGCCTCCTGTAGAAATGCGGCGAGATCTTCAGCAAAGTCCTCTGCCTCATGACAGCACCGCCCTTCAAAGATGCAGCACCACCCCAGCATCACGTGAACCTCGTCATCCTCCTCCTGCTTTTCCTCCTCGCAGCTAGCGGCGGTGGCCGATCCAGCCTGAAGAATCCCAGTCCCTCGCTGACGACTCATGGCCGAGAAACTTCCCCATGGCCTTCGCCTCTTCAAGGAATGCACGTAGATCATCACCACCACCCTTTGGCTCCTGCTGTCCCTCAGCACCATGGTCGACAGGGCTCTGGTGCACGGACCGTCAATATTGCTGGAACTTCTGCCGCCATGCATCCTCCGAACTGCTTCTAAAAAAATCAGCCGTTCCGTTGTTGTGCCGAGCATCATCCTGCATTTCTACATCCTCGTCATCCTCCTGCATGGATCAGGCTTCTGGGTGGTTGCTTCCTACTGTGCGGCACCATTTCTGGCCGATTCGAGCTGTCGGGCTCCTCCTGCGCTGCTTCCAGAAACTTTCGCATGTCGTCTCCAGCACCGCCTGCTTCTGTCACGTGCCACAGCTGGAACAATCATGGAAGATCCGAGGCCCTCGACTCGAAAGCTCGCGCTGTACATGAACCATAGAACGAGATGATTGATGATTGAGCCGTTGCGAGCCTGTGGTCTTTTTGGTGTTGGCTCCTGGCCCGTGTTGAGCTTCCGCGGACCCATCGAACCGCAGGTCCTCGACTAGCACTTCCATCAACCAGACTGGCGGAACCGAACCACAACCGAGACGCGGACCGCTCCAGTGTCATCGCAAATTTGGCGGATTCGCTCCCCCTTTTTTCCAATGATGCGGCCTACAAGATCCACCGGGACGTCAATCCATTCCTGACTGCCGTCTCACGAGACATCGCCGAGACACAATGCCGACTGTCAGAGCCATGCGCCAAGAGGCCTCCACTTCGGCTTGCTCATGCTCCGGATCTTGATCCTTGCCAGTATCCTGGTCCACACCACGTGAGTCCACGATGACCATGCCGGCCTCGATTCTCACGACCTCGCGAACATGAGATGTCCGCACTCGCTCCTCACCCCTTTAGAGTTTGCCCACCACTCAGTAGTAGTAGTAGTAGTAGT